CCCCCTTCCCCTCCGTCCCTCCCCCTGCCCGGGCCTCACCTGGAGCAGGTACAGGAGGCGGTGGCAGACTTGCTTTGCTGGGGTCCCCGGAATAGGGGGAGGCCATGTCAGCAGCCCGGGGTCAGACTTGTTTACCTGGCTGCCCTGGAGACGGGGGCGGGGCCTCCTGGGGGAGGAAAGAACCTTGCATTTAAAGGGGCCCCACCTGGCAGGGGGCTGGGCCGGACAGGGGAAGGGAGATGAGCTGGCGCCTGGCCTCCCCCCCACTCCCCTGCAGCCACCCAGCTCCCGTGCCTGGCGGCTAGGAAGCCGGGGGAAGGGGGGGGGTGAAGATCCTTTATGACCCGGCTGAATGTCCATTTTGTTACATGGCACCACCATGTCATCGCTCTCCAAGGTAATTGCTTTCCTCATTTAATCTCGGGTAAAGTGGCTTCAGCCCTGTTTTACAGGCGGGGAACTGAGGCTCGGGGAGGTCAATGTGTGTATTTGCTGGTTGAATGGAGTCGCACCACTTGGCACGCCGACCCCAGGAAGGGGTTACCACACCAGGGGAGCCCAGTGGCGGGGCTCAGGGGTGGAGTGTGGACCTACGACCCAGGAGGTCACGGCTGGATCCCGGTCAGGGCACAGGCCCGGGGTGCGGGCTCCATCCCCAGTAGGAGGCGCGCAGGAGGCAGCCGATCCACGATCCTCTCTCATCACTGGTGTTTCCATCTCTCGCCCTCTCCCTTCCTCTCTGAGATCAGTAAAAATATATTTTAAAAAATAAAACACCACCGAGGGAAACGGTTCCCTTCAGTTGTCGAACGGACCGGCCGTGAGATGCAGTCAGGCCGCCTCTCCTAGCTGCAAGGGAGGCTGGGGAGGGTGGCCCCCACCTGGGCAGCAGGTGCTGGCCTTGGGCGGGACAGGAGGCAGCCCCGGAGGCCGCGAGGCTCGGGTGGGAGCAGTGGGTGAGCCCGAGAAGGAGCGAGAGAGTCAGCCGGGTGCGGGCAGGCCCTTTCCCGCCTGGTCACAGCCCACAGGCGCCTCCTCCTCCCTGGCCGGTCCCCTGGGGTCTCAGCAGCTCCCCCACCGCCCGGTTCCCTCCCCTCCTCCCCGCAGGGCAGGAAGGGGTCCAGGCAGAGAGCAGAAGGGCAGCCTGTGGGCCACCGCCCTGGGGGAGCGGAGGGTGGCCGCGCCCTGGGAGAGCGAAGGGTGGCCGCGAGGAGGGCCCAGCGCTGCCCACGCCGCCGGGATAATCCCTCCGGTGCTGCCACCGTCTTGCAGTTATTTTTAAAATCTCATTTTCAGAAAGTGGAAGAGAAAACCTCTCTCTCCTTTCTGTGAACAGCTAGGAGGGGGAAGGGAGGAGGCGCCGGAAGATGAGGCGTCGGGGCAGTGTGCCGGCTGGGGGCGTGGGAGGCTTCTGCTGACACTGGTGTCCCCCCCACCCCACCCCCTGGCAGCCCCTACAAAAGGCTCCTCTGCCTCTCACACAGCAGGTGCTTTGTGGGCACCTACTATGCGCTGGAGCCCAGCAGGGAGGGAACTCCGGGTCTCCACCTTTAAGGGGTGCAGTGTCCAGCGGGGAGACCCTGGCTCTGAGCCAAGGGCCAGCGGGAGCCCCAGGGATGGGGACCAGGGGAGGGGCACGGGCCTGGCCAGGGCCATGAGCAAAGGCCCCTGGAGGAGAGACAGGGCTGGGGAGCGCCCAGCAGACGGCGT